AAAAGTGTAATTGCTCCCTGTCTAGCAACACCTGACACCCCAGTGATAGTTCCTACCTATATGAGTTTCACCTTAACCCAAAGGCGACACCTGCTGGAACAATTTGTGTTTGCACTTCATAAACATGGCTCCTACATAGGCATTAAACTGGCTTTCTCTATAGTAGTGACAAGGGCCTAGATTAGAGTTTGTTGAGAAGAAATTAATATCAGGATCAAAATTTGAATCATGAACATTTCCTTTTTCATGATTTAATTCAAATGGGTTAAACAGCATATTGTCTATGTCTAAGTGTTTTGAGTCATGACTGTCCATCAGGTAGGAGGCAAATTCATCATCAAGTATAGAGAAAGGAAATAGACTTACACATTCTTTACAAATCCAAGATGCCCATATGCCAGATGACTTTTTAGATACCGGTGTAAACCTAATATGAGACCCATTTTTACATAGTGCGCAGAAGATGCTCAGAATCATACTTTTTTGACACTGCGAACACTGATCTTGTTTAGTCATATTATGAAAGGAGTAAACATAGTACAGCAACATGGATTCCTTATGTCATTACCTCATTTCTTCTTGGCTTATGTGAAGGTGGATGCACGATGAGCTTGTCATATCGTAGGTAAGCTATATCACCTCTCTTCGTGCAGCTTTCATCTCTGGCAAAAGTTCTCTCCGCTTCTGCCGAACTGTTTCAGAGAAGTCCTCATTTATATAGACGTTCGACCCCTTCAGGGTTTTTGCTTTAGCCAGAATGGAGAGTTTGTCCTTATGCCTTAGAAGCTTCACTGTAATTGGACGGGGTTTGTTGCCCATTGGAGCAGGTTTACCTGAACGATGAGCACGTTCAATTTCAATCTGACGGTGATCTAATTTCATCTTCTCTGAAAGAAGGCTCCTAATTTTTCTTCTGTCTCCGACACAGCACTATTACTTTTTTTACCCAGCAGATGGAGCAAAAAGGATGTGAGTACAAGATACGATCTGTGGGTCGCTATAATACGGGGAATATCATACATTTTTAATACAGTGCCTGTGACGTCAACAGCGCCTTTTTGAAAAGTTGAAAGAATTTCAACTTGAGCGTATGGACGTGCAGCACTTTTCTTCTTGGTGCACAAGCGCTTCATGCAGACACTTCTGAGCGTACAGCCAGCGGTTTTCTGCCCGGAAATACTCACTAGAATGTGTGTGAATTGAATTTCGCCTCAGTCTGGTAGTAGCTCGCTTGGTAGGCAGTGTTCTCCAGATTAGTGGGAGTGGGCTGCAGTGCTGAGTCTGGGAGTTGTTGTCTTTCATCCACATGAGCCAAAAAGACACTTTCTGCCTTTTCTCAGTCAAGAAGGCATCAACTTCAAAATGTATTTCACATTTCTACGTATATGACCCAATGTCAATACAGATTCATGTTTCAACCGGTGAAGTATCCCTTCAAATAAAGTTTTAAAAATGTTATGTTATGACCATGAAATCGTTTTTACATTGATACTTAAAACAACTTACATCACACATAACCCGGATCATGTTTGAGAAATCCTCTGCAAAGAAGCATGGAAGGCCAAGTAGGGCATCTGTATGTCTGTTTTGGTTTGAATCCTACAAAGGTGGGGGGGAAAATCAGGTCAATATTACCAGCGGTTGAACATTTTTTTTAAACCTTTGCTTGAAAGTACAAATACATACTGAAATATCATCCACTGCATTACATTATGTTTGGTGTCACTGTCCAGTGAAAAACCATGTCCCTCGAAAATCCTCTTTTCATGAGCTCTCAAACCAGGTCTTATTTTAGCTGTGTGATAATTTTTCCAGTAATTTCAAAACAATTTAAAGAAAAAAGTCATTTCAGACTGAAGGATGAGTCATCAGTAGGCATGTAAAGATCACACACGCACGCAATAATAAAAAGTCTGTAAGAACCATCAGAAAAAACAGTCGTCTGCTTAGTTGACTTTGGACTTTTCTGGGCATGTCTCTCTCTCTGCCGTTACTCAGGGGATGCGTTGAGACCATGCTGCATTCAGGGGTGCTCAGACAACGAGAGATACATTCAGGTGCGCTCAGAAACGGAAGTTGCGGTAACAAAAACTAAGCTGGACAGACCGTTACAAGTTCAAATAATTGTTCAGTTGTTATATTGACTGCTGTCATTAAAAGAAACACATGAACACCATGATTCCTGTGTCTGTGGTGTTATCCAACTGACACCCCCCCCCCTCCTCAGAGCTCTAAACCTAGGGGAAACACTGTAAAATAAATTGTGAAACAATCGTATCGTGAACCCAGTATCGGGAATCGTATTGACAGTTGAGTGAATCGTTACATCCCTAGTCATCAGGCATGTAAAATGTTTTACAGGAAGAGAACTTTTTTGATTATTTAGATGCAAAATACTCAGATAATGCTTTACTGAATATATTTGGCAAATAAATGAACATTTAACACAAGAACGCCGGATTAAAACCGGGAAAATGTATTTTTGATTTCATGGGGACTTTAATGTTTATCTCTACACAGTGCTTACCTCTTTCCCAAGACACTGCAGAATTCTTCTCAGGATTAACCTCTTGTTGGATGTGACACCTGACTGGTACAACTCTATAAGGTTTGGTAACAAGGCATCTAGTCCACCAAAGAAAGACTCCATCAGGTCTGTGGTGACAATCCTCCTGAACTCTGAATTTAGCTGAAACATATGGATAAAAGAGAAAAAAGGAGTTCTGTGACCTAAAAGAGCAGCATAAAGCTATATGCAGGGCCTGAAATTAAATTTTATAAATCTTTATAATGCTGTAATAGTCTTTGTTGTCCACTGAAAGAAAATGCACAAAACTTACATTTCCACCTCATCAACTGTTTACCACTCATGCGCGCGCAGCACAAAGGGGAAAATACAACTTTCAAGTCATTATCTAAAATTAAAATACATTATTTTTTACTCACTGGTCAATAAAAATTATGAAGTTTAATATGATTCCCCGTTCTTATCCACCTTGTAGCGAGTTGGCCATGAAACTTGAGTTTAAGCAGCACGGCAAATAAGCTAGCACTCGGCCACGAAGGAAGGAGCATTAGCTAATGACACGACATTGCATTTTGCCTTTCCGGACATTAACTACCTACAACAAATAAATTGATTCTACAACTGATAACAACAACAAAAACAATAAAATGACTTATTAATAATGATAATATATTAAACTTACATCCAAGTCCGAATGCTGTCGGTTCACCGAAGACGTTCTCTCTCCCTACGGCTGCTTCACAGGACCGTTGAATTACTCCGCCTCCGTTCAAGCTATGTTATCAGGCGCACGGACTTCCTCCGCCGCAGGAAAGAGTCCTCTATTGTTGTCCAAATTTAGGTTGAAATTCGAATGAAGAGCAGATATACACTATACAATGTGTACTTTTGCCTATTTCTTACCATGGTTTAAAGAACAGTGATTCTGTCAAAGTCCTGGCTGTAATGAAGATAATAAAACTAAACTCAGTTGGGACACTAGTCTGTTGCTTTCCACTGGATTCACTCAGGTGTGTCGGCCAGAACACCACTTCAGGCCTTATTCCAGAATATGAATAACAAGAGGGCAGATTTGGTTGAATGGCTGTTTACTTCTTCCTCATGTGAAACAAAATACAGGCATCTCAGTGGCCATTAATATGACAGAGTATTGGGTCTTGTTGTGGTTTTCTATAAGAAAAAGAATAGCAGAATATATACTTAAGGAACACATCTGAATGCTTCATCTTACCTCTATAATAACATACAAAACACTACACAGTAATGTAATAGGTTATAATATGTAAATAAATAAAGGTAAGCTACATGTCTCTTTAACCTAAAGTATTAAGCACAGAAAGGCTATCGTAGGCTTAACAGTCATACAATCATTTCCCTATAAAAATACTACGATGCTTTTATTGTGAAGCACGGACATCAAACTTTCCTCCTCGTGCAGAGAGCAACACAGTTAGTAAGCATGTCGGGCCGTGACGTCGGCTAATTAGCATATCCAGAATACGCCGAACATCTAAGCTCTAAACTCTGGCTCCGCAGGAGTTAACAACTTTGCCTCAACATTAAAGAACACACAATGTCACATATAAGACTTCAGGTAAGTACTCACTCATTCGCACAACCAACTTCTGAAGTGATTACTCTGCACACTGATGGCTCATCTGTCATCGACTGATGCACACTGCTCATTACTACATGATGTAATTCTCTATATGACCAGCAGGTGACACCTCTTCCCTATTGAGCACAATATCATCACATTGATTTCTGCAAGTTTCACTTTTGAAAACTCATAAATGTAAGTTAAAAATCTAAAACTTGAGTCGGTTATTTGAGTTAAAGAAAATAAGTTAGTGGAGATAACTAAATTGGGCTGTGATGTTTTACAGTGTATACTTAGTACATATCAATCTTAATGTTGGGCAATTCCAACTATGTGTGAATAGGCTCCTATACTGACTTTGTTAAGTGATATATAACTTAAATCAAATATTAATCAGAAACAATACAAGATTTCTTAACCTTAAAAAATAAATACATAATACATGTAAATATACCTAAAATGTACAAAAATATACAACATAAATACATTGTTGATTTCACAATGAACAGAATGCAAAAACAGAATGGAAGCAATACTCATGAAATGAATATAGACTGTGTGTAGTATAAATCACTCTGTAGGCCTTTTTTTATCAACACTGCCATCAAGTGGTGATAAAGACATAAAGTGAGATGATCATAAGATGAATACTATGGAAGTGATTAGTGATCAGAATTCAAATGATAACATGTAATCATTTAAATAAAAATGCACATTCTTTGACTAAATTAAAATTTAGAAAATTACATTTGCTTTTTCAATTTAAAAAATGTGCATTTTTGAAGTTGAAAACTAAAATTCTATTTAGATAAATTAGTCATAATTTTATTTTTGAGTCAAATAATACTCCCATATTCTGAAAATTAAAAAACATTTCTGTTGATGGATTTTAATTTTCAAATTAGCTTTATCATTTGAATTCTGATCACTAATCGCTTCCATACAATACTATCTACATTCTGTAAACATGTTTAAGACACAAACCTTACAAACCTAAAGAAATTAAAAATACATTCAAATATAAATTGTTTGTAAATGAGAGACACAACGAAAGCATACTGCTCCTGTTTCTTTAACAGCCCGCACAACCTTCAAAAAAAGATTTGGCATCGTGACTAAACTGTCAAAGCCCAGTTTCCTGTTTGATTTCAAACTAAAAGCACAGAGGCTAAATACAAACAGCAGGTGAGTGAAAGTTGTGGGGGAAAAAAAGAAAGAAAATAAGACAAAACCTATTTAATTTTTGTTTTTAGTTAAAACGGACTGTCTTCTATTGATAACATCTGTACACCGAAGCTAGGAAACACACCTTTTCAGGTGGGCACCTGAGAGCAGATGAACAAACAGTGTGTCTGCATATAAAACCAATAGTTAACATTGTTCCGTCCACTTATTAAGAGATATTTGAAGTTTGAAAAAGTAGCCTAACTTAAGCCGTGTAGCCTCGCATGTAGGCGTCGTGACTACACAATGGTCGAGCTTCTACCTTATTGTGAAGGTCGGAGGTATACACAGACCGGAAGCTCAGATGTTAACATCTGGACGAGACACTGTCGTTTAGAACCTTGCCTGTTTGTCTGCGTCCTACAGCCGCGCCCCTTTGTGTTACCTGAGCCCGACTGCTCCAAGAAGTGTTGACTTGATCCTGTTCTGACTTGTTGGAAGGAGAAATAACAACCCACGAGTTGTTGGAGTTAAATCAGAGAGTAAAAGTGTTTTTTCTGTTCCTGCATCCGAGACGACAAAGTGAAAGTGAAAGTACACTGAAGGTACGACGGCGGCTGCGGAGCATACCTGTGATTATTCTGCTGCTCTGCAATGGGTTGCTTTTATTTCCTGGCCTCGTTCTTATTTACCTCCTGCCTCGGTGAGTTTTTCTTCTTTACCATTCTGCTGTTTTTATCTTGAGACTTAATGAACCTACAGAGCTGCAGACCACACCACGAGCAGGACCAGACATGTTCAGTAATCATTAATACAAAGAGGGTTCAATAGTTCACTGCAGCTAAAAACTGTTTCCTTATCAGACATGTACATAAGTTTTGACCTGTGCAGTATTTTTGCTTTTAAAAATGCATAATTCACATGTTTATTATGAAGTAATAGACTTTATAGAAACACAGCATTACTTTGATACGTTTGTTAATAACAGACTAAGAAATACACCTGATGATATTAGTCTATTTCATGTTTACTTTTATTTGTTTTAACTTTGTATTCAAATGTTTAACATCGACTTTACACTTGTTACACATGAACAAACTAAACACACATCTTCACCACTCTTTACTCAGCATGTATCATCATGAAGTGTTAATCCTGGGACAATGGCAGAGACGTGTTCTCTGGTCATTGTTCAGGCAGAAGTTTGACATATTTTTACTGAGCGGAATCATACTGAAAGTTTTGACAGATAGATCTTGATGCATGGTTTTGTTCTCCGACTTAGAAAATATTCAATTCATGTAACACAAATAAAAGCCGGACTATCTCACAATTAAGACACTGGAACAAGGATTCTGGAAACATAAGTTGAAGGAGAATTTGTTGTTAGTCAGGGAGGTGTTCAGGTACAACTGCTTGTGTTTTAAGTGAATAAAATGTTAAACAGCTGATCTGTCTCCATGGTGATCCAATAACTGATGAATTCTGTCAAATGCTGCTGTGTCGCCATAGAAAGTTGTTTAAATGACCTAGACTAAAAGTGACTTAGTCCTGCATTGAGATTAAAAATCTTATTTACAAGAGTAAAGCAGTACAATAAACACATTACAGAGATAAACACACAGAGTAATCACAAACACAGATCAACATCCTGAGTCACAGAGAAGAAAAGTTAATTATTCAAAGCATCTACAACCTGAAGCATCTTCCTCCAACACCTTCAAACTACTTTAAAAAAGATTTAAAGAGGGGCGCTGGTGGTGCAGTGGTTAGTGCGCGCGCCCGATGTATAGAGGCTATTGTCTTCCAAGCGGGCGGCCCAGGTTTAAATCTTGCATGTCATTCCCCACTCTCTCTCTCTCCCTGATTTCCAACTCTATCCACTGTCCTGTTTCTCCATTAAAGGCACAAAAAGCCCAAAAATAAATCTTAAAAAAAAAAAAAAAAAAAGATTTAAAGAGACAGATCATCCTGCAGGAGATTCCAGACCGCATGAGCAGCTTACCTTAAAGTCCTTTTCCATTTTTTTTATTTGGATAAAAAAATGAAGTTCTAGCCTTAAATCCAAAAGTACAACGGTCATGGATTAGGGCCATGTTAAAAAAATATTATTTATTTTAATTTCGAGATTAAACTCGTAAATTTATCTGTTATTACTATATTGTACTCGTAATAAATGTGGATGGAGAAAAAACAGCAAGTTACTAAAAACACTTTTGTACGATGGAGGATTTAAGATTTAAGATTTAAGAGATTAAAGTCATAAATTTACGAGAATAAAGTCATAAATTTACGAGTTTAATCTTGTAAATTTGTGACTTCATTCTCGTAAATTTACGACTTTATTCTCGGAGTTTAATCTCAAAATTATTTTTTTGTTTTTTTTAACATGGCCGTAATCCTCCGTCGTACAAAAGTGTTTTTAGTAACTTGCTGTTTTTTCTCCATCCACATTTATTATGAGTACAATATATTAATAACAGATAATAATGCTCGAGTACTAAACAGGATTAACGGTCTCTAAATTCTATAAACACGTTTCATTAGAGTTGTTTTAAATATGCAGAACCCTTACAAAGACACATGCTTCATATTCTCATACCTCTCTATGATCAGTTCTAGGTGCTGAACCGCCTACAAAATATGTCCTCAAGGGGACGGGGAGAGCTTGAAGCCGACCTTTTCTGGACAACCAAATTCAATTCTGTGGAGACATAACGGAAACAAAGTGGTGGAGTTTGACAGCAGAGAGGAACAGGTGTACGGAGCGTACAAAAACAGGATCACTCTCGACTGGGCCACAGCAGAGCTCGAAATCACCGGCCTGAAGTTTGAAGACAGAGGACTCTATGAAGTGGAAGTCGACATCGACAACATTTTCTATCTGTCAGAATTCAAACTGGAGGTCATAGGTAAATTCAACATTGAACACACAGATTATAATCAATCCATCCTACAGCTGGAAGAGGGTTAAAAGTAAAACCTCAGAGTAAAATGTGAATAGAAACAGAAAGGGATGATTTGAAACATTGAAACCCCGTATGGAATTGAAAATAGCACAAAGACAACCTGCTAAATGTTGAAACTGTGAAATGACATTGTTTAATTTTAAAAAAAAATTCTACTTTTTTGAAGCAAAAATATGTTTTTGAAAATGTCCAACTTTTGGAAACCAAAGTTTTTTTCATGAACATTTTCAACATTTTTGGAGGCCGAAATTTTTCACAAAAATATTCAGCTTTTTTGATTTTGAATTTAGTTTAATTCCAAAATGTTTAAAAAGAAAGTTGGTGCAGTAGCACAGAAGCTGATGGAACATGTCAAAGTTTAGAAGGTGAACTGGCTACAGGTTAGTAACATGATGGTTTAAAAAAAAGATGTGAAGGGCGTCTGTGAAAGTCTGTGCTGAGGTGAAACAATTAGAATCTTGTTGTTTTTTTTACTTACAATTGAAATGAATGTGGTTCATTGTCTGCAAACTTTACATCTTATAAAAAGATTCAGAGAATCTAAAGAAATATCTGTAAGTGGAGGACAAGGCCAACAAAACAAACTGTGTGTCCCTGAGACAGCCCTGCTTTAAAAACAGATTCTGTAGTGGACACGGCATTGGCTCAGAAACAGAGTTCTAGCTAGCTGGAAAAAAACTCCTTAATGTACGTCGCTTTGGACAGAAGCATCTTGTGAATGAATTGTAGAATCAGGCACACAACAGAGAAATCTAAAGAAACTGCTGAAGCTGTGAAGAAAAGCTGAAACATCAGAAGATGAGTTATTTTTCCAGAAATCCGTTTTAAACTTTGTGGCTTTAAGCCCTCAGAAGCTGAACTGAATGGATGTGCAAGGCTGATACAGATTCAGTGAGTCACACTGTTGGGCTGTAAAATCTGCTTTATGTAGAATATTACCAATGATCAACTTCAGAACTGTTATAAAACCTTTCACCACAGGTTTTATGGCTGTTGTGGGGACATCTTTATAGACTGTGTACTTTTGGCAACGTTCATATTTCAAGTCGCTCATTTCATCACATTTGTATTTTTGAGGATTTCAAGTGTCTGAATTGCATTTTTCTTTGGTGATGTAAATCATACAAGTGTTTAGGACTTGTTGTAATCAGAAACAAACTTATATCATCATCATTATTCTATCACATTCTACACTTCAGGCGGTCAGAACAATCCTTTTCTCACTTTAAGTTACCGTGGGCAAGTAACTGTAACAGGACTCTAAAAGGAACTGAAGGGCACTGTAGAGGGGAGATCAAATATTATCTTTTTATATGTGTGTGCTATCAAATGGGTTTTATAGTCCTGGATCTACTTTTTTACGATGGCCTTGGTATCAGCCGAGAGGTGTGCCCTTGATAAAAAACTAATTGTTCAAGCATCTGAAGACGGTTTATATTCAGTGCCAAAGAAGAAGTTACTTTCACTCTCTTAAGTCACAGAACATAGTGAACACAGTGTGTGTGTGTGTGTGTGTGTGTGTGTGTGTGTGTGTGTGTGTGTGTGTGTGTGTGTGTGTGTGTGTCCTAAACAACGAGCCACAGTTAGATTTCTTTAACATGACAGCATTCTTCCCTCTAAAGAAGTCGATGTTAATCATACTGTAACAATACTTTATTCATCAGACACACTGATGTTTGACCTCAAACCCGTTCTGATAAGCAGTGTATGCCCTTTATACCCGACATTATGTTATCATATTATTCACTTGTTTGCACAGATTTTATGTTTCTTTGTATACAAACCAGGACCCGACACATATGGGATTTTTGGGGCCGATATATCGAAAGAATTTATTGGCCAGAATAACAACAGTAAACTGTTTTAAATGTGATTTTTCTCACTTAAATGCAGAAATCAAGTATCTGAAAATAACTCTGTGAGTCATGACTGTCTGCAATGGGTGTAACACCCGAGTCCCACTGTCTGTGATGTTTTTAAGAGTCAAAGTCAAAGTCAACTTTATTGTCAATTTCAAAATATGCCAGACATACAGTGGAATCGAAATTGCTTTGTTCTGTCCCGATGCAATACAACCAAATAAGGTAAAATAAGATAAGGTAAAATAGATAAATAAAATGAGGTAAAAATAAGATAAATAATATTTACAGTAATAAATTCTAAATTGTGCAAAAGGTACAAAATGGTAAATAAAATAAAATAAAATTTAAAGAAAAATTAAACTTGTGCAATATGTGCAATGTGCAGTAAACTGAGTGTACTTTTGAGATGTTAGCTTCAGAGTTATTAGTCCAGAGTTCTTGGTGGAAAATGGGAGGGGGTTCAACGTCCAGTGTTCGTGGGGGCAGAGGGGAGGGAAGGAAGAGAGGGGAGAGAGTTAAGCTTCCTGACAGCTTGGTGGAAGAAGCTGGTTCCCAGTCTGGTGGAGCCGGCCCGCAGGCTGCGGTACCGTCTCCCCGATGGCAGGAGGCTGAAGAGGCTGTGTGAGGGGTGGGTGGGGTCACGCACAATGCTGGTTGCTTTGCGGGTGAGGCGGGTACCGTAGAGGTCCAGAAGAGAGGGGAGTGGGACACCGATAATCCGTTCAGCAGCCTTCACTGTGCGCTGCAGGGTCTTGCGGTTGGCAGCAGTGCAGCTCCCAAGCCACACAGTGATGCAGCTGGTCAGGATGCTCTCGATGGTGCCTCTGTAGAAGGAGCACATGATGGATGGGGGGGCTCGTGCTCTCTTCAGCTTGCGGAGGAAGTAGAGGCTGCTGGGACTTCTTGGCCAGTGATGTGGTGTTGGTTGTCCAGGAGAGATCCTCACTGATGTGAACCCCCAGGAACTTGGTGCTGCTCACTCTCTCCACAGCAGCACCGTCGATGGTCAGTGGGGGTTTAGGAGTGGGGACTCTCCGGAAGTCGACAACAACCTCCTTGTCTTGTCGACGTTCAGGAAGAGGTTGTTGTCTCTGCACCACGTGGCCAGTTGGCTGACCTCCATCCTGTGGTGCGTCTCATCGTTGTTGGAGATGAGACCAACCACTGTTGTGTCGTCCGCGAACTTCACAATGTGGTTGCTGCTGAAGGATGGAGTGCAGTCGTGGGTCAGCAGCGTGAAGAGCAGGGGCTGAGCACACAACCCTGGGGGGGCCCCAGTGCTCATGACGGTGGTTTTTGATGTGCTGCCGCCGACTCGCACTGTCTGAGGCCTCTCACTGCGGAAGTCCAGCAGCCAGTTGCACAGGGACGTGCTGAGCCCCAGCTGGTCCAGTTTGCCGATCAGCTGCTGAGGGATGATGGTGTTGAATGCTGAACTGAAGTCTATGAACAGCATTCTGACGTATGAGTTTTTGGTGTCCAGGTGGGTGAGGGCTGGGTGAAGAGCAGAACAGATGGCATCCTCGGTGGATCTGTTACCTCGGTATGCAAACTGGTAGGGGTCCAGGGTGGCGGGGAGGGTGGATTTGATGTGGGCCATGACTAACCTTTCAAAGCACTTCATGGCGATGGGGGTCAGTGCAACGGGTCGATAGTCATTGAAAGTGGATGGTGAGGGCTTCTTTGAATTGTGTATGATGGTGGTGGCTTTGAAGCACGACGGAACAACAGCCTGACTCAGAGAAGCATTGAAAATGTCTGTGAAGACATCTTTGAGCTCCTTTGCACAGTCCTTCAGCACACGGCCAGGAATGTTGTCTGGACCTGCAGCCTTGCGGGTGTTGATCTTGGAGAAGGTTCTCTTCACGCTGGCTGCAGTCAGGCACAGGGTCTGGTCGTGGGGAGGGGGGGTGGTCTTCTGTGGGGGCGTGCTGTTGTGTGCTTCAAACCTGGCAAAGAAGCTGTTGAGGTCGTTCAGCAGAGAGGTGTTGCTGTCACAGGTCTGTGGCTTGGGTTTGTAGTCCGTGATGGTCTGGATACCACGCCACAGGCTCGCGCGTCTCTGCTGTCCTTGAAGTGTCCGGTTATTTTTAGTGTGTAGCTGCGTTTGGCTTCCCTGATGCCACGGGACAGGTTGGCCCTCGCTGTTCTCAGGCAGGCTGCGTCCCCAGCTCTGAAGGCGGTGTTCCTGGCCCTCAGTAGCCCGCGTACCTCTCCTGTCAGCCATGGCTTCTGGTTAGCCCGGGTGGTGATGGTTCTGGTGGTGGTGACATCAGCAATGCATTTGCTAATGTAGGAGGTAACAGTGTCAGAATACTCCTCAATGTCTGTGTGGTTGTTGTAGGTGGCTGCCTGCTTAAACATCTCCCAGTCTGTGGTATCAAAGCAGTCTTGTAGTGCAGCAGAGGCCCCTCTGGCCACACACATACCTGCTTCAGAACTGGTTTGGTGACTTTAACCCTGGTCTGTAAGCTGGCATTAGCATTACACTGATATGGTCAGAGTGGCCGATGTGGGGGAGGGGTGAAGCTTTGTAAGCACCTTTAACTGATGTGTAAATCATGTCCAGAATGTTACCTTCTCTTGTGGGAAAGGTCACGTGTTGGTGGAAGTGGGGTAAACCATCTTGAGATTTGCATGATTAAAATCCCCAGCGATGATGAAAAATCCGTCTGTGTGGGCTGTCTGTTTTTCAGAATTTTTTTCAGAGTTTTCAGAGTCCTATCTTCAGTTTGTTTACATCGCCCGGACGGCCGGCTGACTCCTCCCCTCGTGTATAAAAGTTGTTTAATTGAGGGACTAGAGAAAAGAAGAATAACATACTGTACTCACTGCTTAACTGTGTTTCTAGATCACGCTCATTTCAGGTAAATTTACATGCAGTGTGAAGATACCAGCATAATAAAGATCGCTAGCATTAGCATGCTAACACAACAATGCAGTGCGAGTTGTTTTGGTTTCATGCTGGTGCTCAAGGGCGACATCTGCTGGATCAAAAATCACATATAAAGCCTTTAAAGACTAATTTTTACTTAGAATGAACAATTATTATTAAAAACTATGTAAAACATAAATAATTTAAATTGAAGAAACCTCGTTAAATTGGCTCATATCGGAGATAAAATTAGTCGATACCAATAGTGATGTGATGGGCTCATATCATATCAGCATCCGATATACGTAACATACTACAATGATTTCAGTATGTATTCATTTATTTCTTTATTTTTTAAAATGTTTCTTCAAGACAAGGTTGCCCGGCCGACCATATCTTGTGAGATAAACAAAGACGGTGGCTCCGATGTTTCTGAGGTCCGGGCGACGCTGCTGTGCTCTGCAGACCCCACCCCACCTGAGTCCATGATGAAGTTTAAATGGAGAGCACGGGGAAAATCACAACTGGGACACAAGTTTAATATTTCTCTGGGAGACGAACGAGATAACGAAGAATACAGCTGTTCAGTCAGCAACCCTGTGAGCAGTGAGACGGCGACATTCACAGCAAAGTATTGTTATCACGGTATGATCTCATGTATAACTGGACGTTCAGGTTTCTGATTTGGTCATTTTGAAGTGAACGTTCTTTTAGAAAACTTGAAGCTTTGTTGCCAAGTTACACGATTTCTCACCAGGGTTTGACAGGAAGTTGAATGAAAATATATATATTTATATATTTTATTGAACCTTTATTTAACCAGGTTGGTCCCATTGAGATTAAAAACCTCTTTTCCACTGAGACCTGGCCGTCGTACGCGTCGTGGACGTCATGTTTTTAGTAACTTGCTGTTTTTTCTCCATCCACATTTATTATGAGTACAATATATTAATAACAGATAATAATGCTTGAGTACTAAACAGGATTAACGGTCTCTAAATTCTATAAACACGTTTCATTAGAGTTGTTTTAATATGCAGAACCCTTACAAAGACACATGCTTCATATTCTCATACCTCTCTATGATCAGTTCTAGGTGCTGAACCGCCTACAAAATATGTCCTCAAGGGGACGGGGAGAGCTTGAAGCCGACCTTTTCTGGACAACCAAATTCAATTCTGTGGAGACATAACGGAAACAAAGTGGTGGAGTTTGACAGCAGAGAGCAGGAGGTGTACGGAGCGTACAAAAACAGGATTACTCTCGACTGGGCCACAGCAGAGCTCGAAATCACCAGCCTCAAGTTTGAAGACAGAGGACTCTATGAAGTGGAAGTCGACATCGACAACATGTTACGTCTGTCACAATTCAAACTGGAGGTCATAGGTAAGTTTAACATTGAACACACAGATTATAATCAATCCATCCTACAGCTGGAAGAGGGTTAAAAGTAAAACCTCAGAGTGTAAAATGTGAATAGAAACAGAAAGGGATGATTTGAAACATTGAAACCCCGTATGGAATTGAAAATAGCACAAAGACAACCTGCTAAATGTTGAAACTGTGAAATGACATTGTTTAATTTTCACCAAAATGTTTCAACTTTTTTGGGGCCGAAAGTTTTTCACGAAAATGTGAAACTTTTTTTGAATTTGAATTAAATTTAATTCCAAAATGTTTAAAAAGAAAGTTGGTGCAGTAGCACAGAAGCTAATGGAACATGTCAAAGTTTAGAAGGTGAACTGGCTGCAGGTTAGTAACATGATGGTTTAAAAAAAGATGTGAAGGGCGTCTGTGAAGTCTGTGCTGAGGTGAAACAATTAGAATCTTGTTGTTGTTTTTTTTTACTTACAATTGAAATGACTGTAGGGGTTCATTGTCTGCAAACTTTACATCATATAAAAAGATTCAGAGAATCTAAAGAAATATCTGTAAGTGGAGGACAAGGCCAACAAAACAAACTGTGTGTCCCTGAGACAGCCCTGCTTTAAAAACAGATTCTGTAGTGGACACGGCATTGGCTCAGAAACAGAGTTCTAGCTAGCTGGGAAAAAACTCCTTAATGTACGTCGCTTTGGACAGAAGCATCTTGTGAATGAATTGTAGAATCAGGCACACAACAGAGAAATCTAAAGAAACTGCTAAAGCTGTGAAGAAAAGCTGAAAACATCAGAAGATGAGTTATTTTTCCAGAAATCAGTTTTAAACTTTGTGGCTTTAAGCCCTCAGAAGCTGAACTGAAATGGATGTGCAAGGCTGATACAGATTCAGTTGAGTCACACTGTTGGGCTGTAAAATCTGCTTTATGTAGAATAATTACCAATGATCAACTTCAGACCTGTTATAAAAACCTTTCACCACAGGTTTCATGGCTGTTGTGGGGACATCTTTATAGACTGTGTACTTTTGTGTGTGTTCTAAACAACGAGCCACAGTTAGATTTCTTTAACATGACAGCATTCTTCCCTCTAAAGAAGTCGATGTTAATCATGCTGTAACAATACTTTATTCATCAGACACACTGATGTTTGACCTCAAACCCGTTCTGATAAGCAGTGTATGCCCTTTATACCCGACATTATGTTATCATATTATTCACTTGTTTGCACAGATTTTATGTTTCTTTGTATACAAACCAGGACCCGACACATATGGGATTTTTGGGGCCGATATATCGAAATAATTTGCTCAAGGGCGACATCTGCTGGATCAAAAATCACATATAAAGCCTTTAAACACTAATTTATACTTAGAAATGAACAATTATATTAAAAACTATGTAAAACATAAATAAACTTAAATTGAAGAAACCTCGTTAAATTGGCTCATATCAGAGATAAAATTAGTCGATACCAATAGTGATGTGATGAGCTCATATCATATCAGCATCCGATACATACGTAACATACTACAATGATTTCAGTATGTATTCATTTATTTCTTTATTTTTTTACATGTTTCTTCAAGACAAGGTTGCCATGCCGACCATATCTTGTGAGATAAACAAAGACGGTGGCTCCGATGTTTCTGAGGTCCGGGCGACGCTGCTGTGCTCTGCAGACCCCACCCCACCTGAGTCCATGATGAAGTTTAAGTGGAGAGCACGGGGAAAATCACAACCGGGACACAAGTTTAATATTTCTCTGGGAGACGAACGAGATAACAAAGAATACAGCTGTTCAGTCAGCAACCCTGTGAGCAGTGAGACGGCGACATTCACAGCAAAGGATTGTTATCACGGTATGATCTCATGTATAACTGGACGTTCAGGTTTTGATTTGGTCATTTTGAAGTGAACGTTCTTTTAGAAAACTTGAAGCTTTGTTGCCAAGTTACACTATTTCTCACCAGTTTGACAGGAAGTTGAATGAAAATATATATATTTATATTTTATTGAACCTTTATTTAACCAGGTTGGTCCCATTGAGATTAAAAACCTCTTTTTCACTGAGACCGAGCCGAGACAGGCAGCAGCAAAAACACAAAGTTACAGACGGAAACACAAAGAGAGACAAATTACAGTTTACAAAACACAACATTTTGGATTAAAATAGAACCATCTATGAGTCATATCTGGGAATCAGTCGTTCAAACAGCCGAGCTAAAACATCGACATCCTGCAGAATCTGCTTCCATGTCTTTCATTTTAGATTTAAAAACATTTAAGGACTCCAGCTCCTTGAGCTTTAAGTCATTCTGTAACAGATTCCAGGCTGAGGGTGCAGAGGACCCAGAAGCCCTTAAGATCCCTTTGACTCAAGGATTCAAAGTTGTTAATAAATAAATCAATGTTTTGGTTGTTGTAAAAGAGAGACTCTATATTCTCCTGTTGTTACAGTTCTACAGTAAGTTGTTTTGGTGATGAGTGATCTACGTCCCTCTAACTTTTGACTCTTGTGTTTCTGAAGATAATTCATCTGTAGCTGTGGCTGTCAGTCTGGCTGTCGTTGGTTTAATCGTACTCGTGTTGATCATCTTCTTCTGCAAAAAGAGACAAAAAGGTAAAGTAGAAAGAAATTACACTTTCATTAGAAAAAATGATACTGAAAACATTTCTCAGGATGTAGATTCTAAAGAGAACGACCTGATAAGTAACATGTATGTTTATGAGGTCCAGGTATTCAGAAAGCGATGTGGAACAGTTCAGCGCTCAATACGTTTTCAAAGAGGAAAGGTAGTTTGTGAAGAAAGACAAGAATGTTCCCCATTGTCTGAGTAGGTTCTCAGTCATCCAGGTCATGGTACATTTGAAGCTACATTCAAAATCAACTGGACTGGTTGAAGATCTTTTCTTTTTTTTTATTTATTTATATAGATCCTTTCAGACAAATTAAATTGCAGTTCAAAGTGCTTTACAAGAGTGCAGAAAAGTTATTGACAAAAAAGTAGTTTATAAAATCACTGAGAGACTAATGCACACCAATAAGAATTAAAAAAATATAAAAATTAAAAAATTAAATACGACACATAAAAGCAACAAGATATTAAAATTAATACATAGGAGAAGAATATTTAAAATTGTAGTAGGATAAAAAAAGACAATACAGTAATGTTAAGATTTGAATTGATATAAAACACGATATAAAAGTCGGACTGAATAAATGAGTTTTCAGACTGCGTTTAAAAATCTCAATATTCTCCTCTCAGACCCTCAGGAAGGTCGTTCCACAGTCTCAGAGCGTAACAGCTGAAAGCTTTTTGTCCTGCTCTGTGGAACAACTAAGAGAGAGGTGGAGGATCTGAGGGGTCGTACTGGTTCATAAACTAAAATCATATCTGATAGGTAGTCTGGTACAAGGCCATGTAATGCTTATAAAGTAATAAAAGAAAATCTTGAACGTCTTCAGAACGTCTTCCAGATCTTCCACCAGTCCAGCTGATTTTGGATCAAGCTTCAAATTCACCATGACCTATTGTGTCCTGTTATTTCAGTTAATTTCATTGAATTATTTTTATTTGAAATTTCAGATTGAATAATTTCAGTGATTTTTAAATGTTCTATTTTAATGTTTCTTTCTTTTCCTCTGTCATGATGCTTTTGATGTCTGAAGCACTTTGAATCGTCTTGTTGTTGAAATGTGTGACATAAATAAACTTGCCTTATTGAACACAATCATCTTTTATTAATAATGAAAATCTTCATATTGTATTAAAACTAACAACATACTGATCGTCTTCTCTCTCTCTCCTCTCTCCTTTGCTTCCAGCATGTTTTTCTAAAGGACAACAGGATGATGAGGAGAAACAGACTGAAGGTATGATACTTTATGTTTTCAGGCTGAGACTTCCCTTCTTTTTTTTAACAGATCTAAAACTCATAAATATTTGATTTAGAATATAAAACTGTGAAATAGTCTGTATCTGCAGGTCACCTGACAACAGAGAGGATACTCTGGTATGCAGAGCTTGGTTCAAGTGATAGTTTCTGTTGAGCGATTGGATGATTTCAGAGTTTTCATCGATCGTCACTTTTATCTTCTCTGCCCATAAAACTACAATTTATTGTTTGTGATCTGTTTCAGGCTCAGATAAGAAGAAGGCTCAGGGAGGTGAAACCAGTCCTCTTCTTGATCAGCGACTCAATAATACTATGAGCCCCAATCACCCTGATAGCATGGTCAAAGAAGACACTGAATTACTCTTGGAAAAAGGTAAAAGCTGCTCAATATTAATTACTCCTTTTTGTTAAAGGTTTATTTTGAGGCTTAATGACTTTATTTTGAGAAAGGTCAGTGGATAGAGTCAGAAATCGGGGAGAGAGAGAGAGCGGGGAATGATCCACAGGTCCATCCTGAACCCGGGCCCTCCGCCTGAAGGACCACAGCCTCCCCACATGGGGCGCACACACCAACCACCGGCGCCTCGTTAATTACTGCTTTTAAAAACTACTACAGCTTTTAATGATTTACTCAGCTAAATAATATCTTTCTCTTATAACTTGGCTAACAGTGTGAGTCCTGAAAGAAGAACATTTCATATCATTTTATCATTTTCAATTTAAAACAATATGTTTTGCTCTTTTATTTTTATTTTAGGGCCTGTTTCCTTTAAAGTACAAAGTTGTTCATTTTAAAAGAATGGGTATCACTGGAACGCCGATAGCCTGGTGGTTGAGGCTGTGGGTTCAGGTCCGACCTCTACTCTCGCCTCCCACAGTTTCCTGTCTCTATTCGCATGTCCTGTCAGATAAATGCAAAAAGGCTCAAGAATTAGTTCACTAATTATAATTCAATTAATAATTCAATTACTTATCATGATTAATACACTGTTAAAAAAGGAACAGCAAATTAAGTTACCTTGTTTTTGCTTTTCAGGGAATATCATGAAGATGATACGTGAAATAGACAGACGGGCTGGTCAAGGTAAATTCAACGGGGGAGAAAATAATATGAGCTGCGAGCTGTAACTAATGCTTATTTTATTATAACAACCATGAGGGCAACAAGTCCTCTCATTTAAGTCGCTGCAAACCATCAAACATTTGTCATATTTGCTGATAAGTTAATTCATTAATGCTTGTAGTGCTTCAGTGTGTTTGTTTGAACAGTTTTAAAGCTTAAATCTCTCTCTCTCTCTTTAAAGCTCTTAGAAGAAATATTTCTGATCATTGAAGAACTTTACATGTCTTGATTGTTTTCATCTTTCCTTCTTCTGCTGTTATTTTTATGAAACAACCCTAACCTTATCCAAATGACTGAACAATCACAGCACATTGATTTAACAATTCAAGAAATAAAACACCCACACCTTTTGAGAAATGTAAAACCATTCTTTCTTACTTTGCCCTCTAGAGCTTACATCCATGTCTGTTACCTGTGTGTATATTTTATTTAGCTCATAGTTTGATTGTGATTTTATTTCTAAACAGTACAGAAAGGAGTAACATGATTAATCTGATTTCAGTTCACTGCATGTCATGAATTATTTTGATCTAAAGAATATTTTTCTCCAGAACCTGTTGTAGATAAGAAGCCACCAGAAGGTAACACCACAACACACATTCTTAATGTTAGCTGAGACACGATATAAGAGAGGCTAGGAATAAAGCTGGCTGCTTGTGACTCTTTTCTCTTATCAGGTTTCGTCAAAGAGAAGAAAGAACAGTTTGAAGAAAAGGCTAAAAAACCTCAACAGCCTCAAAACAAAACAGGTAATTTTGAATGGGAAGTAGATTTCTGCAAACAGCTGCAGCTGATGTTTATTTTCATTTCCACAATCAAAAAGCAGAGAGTCCTAACATTTAACAAGGTACAACAAATTAATAGTTGTTGTTGTTTTTACTTATAAATGACTTAAAACATGAATTAAATTCATGTTGATTCATTTTCCACCAATCAGAAAATTCCTGTATCAATCTATTGTTTCTGTACTACTCATTATTTCTTAATAGATTGTTCCTAACTGGGTTTATTGACTCCAGTGTCTGAGACTGTCTCTGTTCTGTTTAGTATCTTTAAGTATTTGTTTTCTCTTGCTGTTTGTTTCAATCAGATTCAGAAAGCTAGAACGCTCGCTCTATCAAACTTTACACACAGTACAGACGATTAGAGTATTTCTACAAGGTTCACTTTGTAACCTCTGAGAGACAAAACAAAGCATGCAACAGTACTTTCATTTACTTCTGGATTATTCTTAACAACAATAAAGACAAATGGTTCATTTATGAAAGCACATGATAAAAACTGGAGGAGGGACTTTATTTGTTACACCTAACTCATCACACAGACCGTGTCTCATTTAGGAAACCTCCATGAAGTAAGACTCATTGATTCAAACTAAAAGACTGTCTCTGAATATTTCAGTCCTTTACTAATCCTAAACAGACAGGTGCACTTTTTAAACTCTTTTGTATTCTTTGTAATGTTTATTTTAGAGCCAGAGAAGAATCTAGGTATGAGTGAGGAAGCATCGACTGTCCCACTCAAAGATCAAACCTCTCCTACTCTTGCCAACTCAAGTCCCCCAAAGACTGAGGAGGTCCAGATGAGGACCCTAAGGACCCTGCTGGGGGTCAAAAGAACGGGTCTGACTCAGAGGAGGTCTATGAAGACACTCAAGATGAATCTGACTCACAAACTGATCCATCAGGTACGCAACAGAACAGAAATTAATCAGACAAAGTCCTCTGTGAACAAGTCGTCCAGTGTTCCTCATGAGGAAGGTTCAAATACGACATCACAAGAGCAAGAATCTGCCACGCCAAAGGAAGAAGAATCCACAGAAGAAGCTAAACCGGTCAAACTGGTTCCTCCAGCTGAAGAAACATCCAATTTAATGAGTAATGGAGAAGAAATAGATGAGAAACAGCATTTAGCCAACTCAACAGAAGTGAACACCAGCAACACTGTCACATTAAAAAAGGCTTCAGACACTCCACATGCAGATGAGGGGCAGAGCAGGCAGGACTCAGGTGAGAGGGGGGCAGGCAGAGGCAGATCAAGGTGAGGGGGAAATGATGAAGATAAAGAAGAGGATCAGGGTGGTCCAGAAGATGAAAAGTCAGACGATGAGTGAGGATAAAGACAAACAACAGAAAGATGGAGTGATCGCTTAGGCCTTAGGAGAAAATATGTGGCAAGAGAAAGTGAAGAAGTAAGTCCTCTATCTCTTTATGTTACATGTTTGTTTTTTGACATATTTTGTAGGAAGAGACGCCCACAGTACCAGAAGATTATCTCAAAGAAAACAAGTTTTTCATTTGCACTAGTTGTTACCTTTCTTTCCTTTTTTTTAAATGAATAACTTCATTAATATTATGAATGTTTTGTGTGTGACTAACTGAATCCTACATGTATTTTTTTAAAGATGTTTCAACTAATAATGCTTCATGAATGTTTTTAAAAAAAGAGAAATGTTTATTTAATTATTAGTTTAACAGCACTAATGTTTCTGATGTCATGCTCAAACCTTTTGAGGTAACATGAGAGACACGACAAGCAACAGAAAAAAACACTGTTTTTAATCATTAGACAAACTTTGTGGTGTAATGGAATAATATACGACTTATTGAACATCCAGCTACTGTGTCAAAGAATCTGATCAACTGAAGGTGTATTCATAAAGAATGTTTCAGTCAGATATTTGTATTAACTTGTACTGCCATTTATTTTTAAAGAGACGAGTTTGTGTCTGCTAATGAAACTGCTGTGAGGATAATATTTGAAGATTTCTCAGAGCTCAGGGTATAACTGTCACAACTTTTTGTGCTTTCTTGCATTAAATTAGGCATTTTAGGGAACAGCAGTATAAGTTTTTATGATGAATGTTTTCCATTGGTCATTGAACTGATTATTAAAAGCTAATGTGATTATTCTATTTACTGTTTTCTCTCTTACAAAAAAACACTCATTCACTTACTTTTCAAGAAATGCTGTAATGGTACCGTACATTTACAGAAGGTCATTTTAAAGCTGTGAGTAATGAAAATGATTTACAGTTTGAAATGATTGTTGTAAAGAAACATAAAGTAATTTGTTTGTTCTTCCTGATTGTCTCATTTGCTTTTGATGGTAATGTAGAATCAACAGCTACAGTCTGTTTTATAAGCAGATCTAAACTCCTCACAGTGGTTTTAACTGTTTGATGGATTCATGAACAGATGGTCACAAACAACTGGCAGACTGGCCAACATCTGCATCCCATCCCTTTGTTTCAGATTCTCATACGAGGTGAGAGGAACTTGTTGTGCCAGCAGGCCTGTTACATCATTCATCCTACAAAGACAGATTTTATTTTTTATATTTTATATTTAAACATTTTTAAATTCTAATTTTATATTGTAATTTCTTCTTATTCTGTATTATTTAAGTTGTTGTTAGTTCTGTTTTATTTCCTTGTTAATTGTTTAGCACCAATACACCAAGTGAAATTCTGTATGTGTAAATGTACTTGGCAATAAACCCAGATTCTGATTCTGATTCTGATTCTGATTCTGATCCTGATTCTGATTCTGATTCTGATGGAGATGGAGATTCTCTGAGCGTCAACAGGAGAGGCAGTTGACGTGTGTCACACCCTCTGTTGATTGCGAGCTGAAAATCTGGGACGGGATTTTCACGAAAATCCAAGTTTAAAAG